TATATATATATATATATATATATATATATATATATATATATATATGTTTCACTTTTTACAAAAACATGCGGCTTTGAGCACATCCTTTTCACAGTTCCCTCTCCGATAGTTTCTGACATTACTTGACAAGCTAATAGCAATAGCATAACTGAAGAATGTGTGATTTGTAAGCGAAAGATGACAAGCATCTGTGCTTTTGTGAAGTGTGTCAGAATGAAAAAAAGTTAGTTAATTTGACAATAAGTGTTCAGACAGATTTGTTAAGGATAGTCAACTGGGCAGGAGGATAAAGAAGAAGAAAATAATCTAGCTCCAATTTCACATCCAGATCTATCCTCCTGATATGCGGAGCAAGATGAAGTGAGTGGTGGAGCAGAGGAGGAGAAAGCAAACCTGTGATCAGAAGGTCGCCTTTTCAAATCCCGTCTGCAGAAAATGAATTCCCCTATTGTGGATTAACAAAGTAAATGTTATTATTATTATTAATATTAACGTAACATTACTGACACAGGACAAATGTCTTTTCTTTAACTCTCAAGAAACCACTAACACAAATAAAGGTTGATAACATTATCCAATGATTATGATAAAAATCAAACATTTCTTCTAAGAGCAATGCCAGTTCTGATAAAATAGTTGAGAGCTGAGGAAGCCTTTCAAATAAGATGTGAAACAACGTCGGGAAACATAAAAGGAAGTCCTCAATTAGGACCTAATTAATTATTAATTCAATTAGGATTCATCTAGAATTTCCATGTCCTGGATGACTGAGAATGTGCACCAACATAATGCTAGGCAATATATCAAGACAAAAACTAATGAACCACTGACTTACACAGAAGGAATTTAATAAATATTTTATAAAGGGAAAAGGGCATTTGGTGGCATTGCAGTAGAATAAAACTATAAGGTTTGAGTCGATATGATGTGAAGTTCCATCTACTGATGTAAATGGTAAATAGTAGACAATCAAATAACTTGCAGGAACAAGAGTTTTTATTTTGGTCTGTGTTTCACATTTTGACACAGATCAAATGTTGGTAATTCAATTTATAAATTTTACCAAAACCATGTTTTGTTTACATTGTTTCAGCAATATAATTACAGCAATTAATCTGTCTTGGTTAAGAAAAATCAAACAATTTAAACAGACTCAAGTTATAAATAACATCTTGGATTATCCTAAGCGTAAAGAATGTTAAGGCCCCTTTAGATGGACTCCACTTGACCATACTTGAGTCAGTCTGGAGCAGGTTCAGTCTTTCCACTGAGTGGTCCCCTTCACTTTCAGCTCTTTTCTTAGAACTTGCTTGGCCAAGTTGAGCTGAAGATTTGATGTCAGCAGACTGCAGGATAGCAACGTCAATCAAGAGCATCTGCTTCACAAGAATCAGACCCACCATTTTTAAAACCTCACAATCACAGCATTCATGTTATTTACTTTTTTCAATTATACAGAGATAATGGATGGATGGGTGGATGTGTAGTACATTCATTAAAATGGCAACTTTGGTACTACAAGTAGGTGCAGGTGTTTCCTTGCTTTTTGTCTGAAAACAGAATTCAGACAGAACTAGACCAAATGGACTCGATTTACAAGCTCTGGCCAATGTGGGAAAGGCGGCCTCAACTCAGTCACTGCAATTTTGGAAACAGTGACAGCTCATTGTTCTCCGTCACTGTTTATGACTTTATTTCCCTTTTATTTACCAATTGGTGGTAACTTTTGAGCGTCGTGCTATGATGACATGCTTACATTGAGGCAATACTCAGTTGAATTACTACTGAGACTGTGCATAACTGAGTCGGGTCAAATTAGGGTGAAGCAAGTTCTGCTGAGACTGGACAATTTATGAACAATGAATGTATCTGCTCTTTCTTGCCCCTTGCTAAAAGAAACCAGTTTTAAAAAAAAACTGTGGACTACCAGTCTTGTTATCATGAAACCAATAAATGTAGTCGATGATGTAAAACAAGCTTGCATGTTTTTATATTCTGTTCATATTTACCAAGGAGTTCATTAGGCTTGAGTTTAGATTTGACAAGAATTAGAAATTTATGTAATCAACATCAGTAGCTTGTAGACCATTTATTAAGATATATTTCTTAAATGTGATGATCAATGAAGTTGCATGGATATTTTGGCAAGCATGTCCCAACCAAGTTGGAAAATAACAGTAATACTACAATATAATAATACTAACAGTATTTGTCTCTTCTCAAAGTACAAAACGTAACTTCATAGTCATGTCACCTTACATTCTTATAGCTATCAACCTCTTTTACTGAAGTGTCTTGGGTGATAAGTGTATTTTGTGTGGCAGCAGAATGCTCTGTTCAGAAAATCTGACCAAAAGTTGTGTTTGAATAAAGTTTCAGAGTTTGTCAAGCCAGCTAACACAATGGGAGCCTAGCTGTGTGAACTTGCTTCGTAAACCACTCTGGTCACACATGAAACCCAAAGTCATCTCCGTCACAAATTATGAAGAAGGCAGTCAATTGCCAGGAAACGAGCTTCGGCCAATGTTAAGCAGTGGAAAAAGGCACTATTAAATAGACTTTTGATGGGACTGATAGAAATCTATTTAAACATACGTAAAACACCATTTACCACAGCAGTCTACTGTCAGCTCTAACAGTTATTGCTGAAGTGATAGTGAATGAGATGTAACTCATCAATGCATCCATAATTTATTGTTATTATTAATTTTCACCAGAATGTGAAATGTCTCAGTTTAAGGATAAGCAGCACAAAAGCTGCACATGCATATGTGTTCAAAGATTACTTGTCATTGCGTTAGTATTTCTGGGAAATAAAAAAAAATAACTGATTCTAGCAATTTCCTCCTCACATGCTACAGTTGGAAATAGTATTAACTGTTTAAACATTTATTGTGTCAAATGTCCACCTCTAGGCTAAACTGTTTCATTGTCTTTTCTTAAAGATATAGGTTACAACTCGAACTCAAAAAATACGTGCCAGTGTAATTTGCTGCTAAATGCTGTTGAATACAACGTTTCTGGTATCCAAATAAACATATAGCAAAAAAAAAAATAGCAAGGTAGCCATCAAAACAAAACGTAAGCTAAACGTAAGTTAATTTCTTAGTGCTAAATAACATTTAGCTAAACGTTATGAAGGAAACCAAAGCAAACCACAACACCCAGGTATACACGTCAATAAAAATAAAAAAAATAAAGTGTTTGCACTGATTTGGAGAAGGTGCGCGGAACCTGGTGAACGGGCTAACACAGTAGCCTGCTAACGATAGCCAAGTTATCCGTGGCTAGCGAGAACTAACCAAGCAAAGCAAGCTAACGTTAAGCTAGCTGGCTAGCTAGGTTAGCTTAGCTTATGGATGCTACCTACGTAAAGAGCAAACGTGAACCAAAACGCATACGAACGTGACTTCAGCGACTTACCAAATGTACCTAGTCCGTTCAAAATGTTCACAACGCCTCTACACGCAGCTGATCATGGGATTTCTCGAGTAAGAAGAATTGCTTGTTGGCGGTTTGCGGTCTCAAACTGGCTCTTGCTAACGCGAACACAGGGTTGTCATTTGCTGTCATCACGAGGAGGCATGCGCAGCTCACATGCGCGCGCAGGGGGGTGTTGCAGTTAAAGGGAGATTTCACTTAAAATAGTTTACAGGGCAAAGCAAATGCCATTTATGCACTGTATGTTTACTGCTGTGAGTAATATTTGAATTCTACTGTTCTTGTGCAAAAGTGTGTGATAATACTAATACTAAATACTAAAAAAAAGTTTGAATCCATTTATTTCCATATAGTAATTTGCATACAAACGTAAGTTTATTTATTTAGAGTCAAATTTTGTACCAATAGCTTTCAAGGAATTTAACTGGGATACAAAACTGATAACTTTATGTGAATTTAAAAGACTAATCTCATTCTGATTATTTTCTTGCCGAGCAATTCTTGTTTTTGCCACTGGGCTGTGCTCTAATAACAGAAAATGGAAGAGCCTTGCACACAAACTCGATAAAATAGCTCAGTGGGCTGAATCAGATAAAATGATAATAACAAGGTTGTAAACATTTCTTTCAAAAGTTATTCAGTTTGAAACCTATACTAGTTATTTAATAAAAGCCATAACCTAAAAGGTCTTCTCCTGCTCCACTCCTGTTTCCTGGAACACCTTGCAAAAAGATCTGAAGCTCTCGACCTTGACCTCTCTAAGTGGCTTCAAACAACTAAGTTCATGGCAAAAACAATGCAGACATGTTCATTTTCAGTATTTTATATTGCTTTATAATGTAGCTGTTTCTGTTTTGTTTTTTTAAATATCATCTTCCTCGATTTATTTTTCAATTTATATGCTTTCTTTGAAAATTGTCATTATCGTTCTTTGTTAAACGCAGGTCTCTCTTGTAAATGAGTCCTCTAGGCTCAGTGAAACTAAAGGTTGAATGAATGAACCATATATTTATTTATTTGCTTGTTTATTTATTTATTTTGTCTTGTTTTTGGGGTGGTGACTTTGCTATTATACACATTGGCAAACACATCTTGTAACATTTAAACTTAAACACTTTTTTTTTCAATTTGCAGAAAGTTTTTATGACTTCTTATAGAAAATTTTACAAAGTATTTTTAACAATACAGTTATTCCTTAACAAATAAAAAAAAAAAATCCATGGATTTTTTTGTTTGTTTGTTTGGTATTAGTGCATAGTCATCCATGTTTAAAAAAAAGAACCTCCAAAATTCATAGATAAAACCAGATTTCATTCAACAGAGACTTTTAATTTTGATGTACTGTACATCATGTCCTGCTCTTCAAAGCCTCCATGTCTGTTTTTTTTTATAATTTTGTATATAAACTATGCATAATCTTTCAAATTAGTAATGTTTAGTTGATAAAAGCTTAGCCAAAAACCAAATCAGATATTGAATAATGTTGATTGGTGTAAATTTATTTCTGATTGTCAGAGAGAGTATGAATTTGTCTTCTTTCAGCTTTTCCCTCTTCATCTGTCTCCACAGCGAGTCATCCTCCTCCACCTCACTCTGTCCTCTGCATCCTCTGTCCTCACTCCAACTACCTCCATGTCCTCTCTAACTGCATCTCCTCTTTGGTCTCCCTCTTTGTCTCTCTTTTTAAGTGCATGCATCAAAAGAAATTCTGAGACTTTCCCACTTGTTTAATCCCATTTATTATATTTTAAATACTGTAGTTTAGAAACATCACAAAATATAAAATTGAGGAAAATTTTGCACAAAGAGATTCAAGGAAAAGAGCAACCTTACATAAAGGAACATTGCCGATTAAAGCAGGCGTGTCTAAGTTTAGTGCTGTGATTAAGTTCAGAACATTCTTGTTTTAGAATTTTTGTGAAAACATCTCTTAATTCAAAATAATTATTTTCCATTCATAATAAACATCATTTTACAGCGTAGATGTTAAAGTTGCTCTTTCGTTGCATACAGTTTAGGAACATGGTAATAGTTTTATTAAGGTCTCTAGGTCAGAATGTTAAAATGATCTAATGCTCAATAAATAATTCATACCATTTACATCTCCAAGCATCAAATGCTATCGCTTTAACAGGATAAATTTACTTATAAGCAATAGCAATATTAAAATACATAAATATAAATAACATGCTTTGTTTGAGCAAAAAAATATCTTTTTACAGTGGAAGTTCAAACAACCTGCATCTAAAGCTGTCAAGCCTTTTGAAATAGCTATCTCCGCACAATGCTTTGTGTCAATTGCATTTTTGTTTGTTTTCAACTGAAGGCCACTTTTAAGCTATATCAACTACTTTTCTTCACTAATGACATCAAACTTTTGATTAGCTGAGAAAAGATCTAACTAAAATAATCAATGAAATGTGGAGGGTAAAAATGGTATGATTGTACTTCTTTGTCTATGTCTACTATACTATTGTAATAATCAAACTTAGCCACACAACCACAGTATAGTAATAAAATAACTTTTTGAAAACAAATAACTGGTTGTAGGATTAATGCCAATGCAACATGGTCTAATGTATTTTCTTATTTGAAAGAGGGGGAAAAATAAGTAATCATTACAGTACGGTATCTGTTTGAATCAATTATAGTGTGGAACTAATAAACGTGCACTCCCTGAATAGTATGTGCTTCAGATATAGTCTTCATATATTTAAAAATACTTGGATAACTGGTTTAAAGCCTAGTCTACATGCAGGCTATTCATTCTTCTGAGTGCTTCAGAATCAAAACAAGCCAAAAGCAACATAGGTCAACCTTAAAAAGTGCTGTGAGTTTTTGTGGCGCAAAGGACAGAATTAAGATTAAAAAAGGAAACATAAACAGGATAAGTCACCTTTGTACACTCATACAAATCAGTGTTCAGCTTGCTAAACCACAACACATATTTACAATAAGTACATTTAATGTTGCTGACATCATTACCATTAATTCTTAGTGCTATGTTATATAATATCATCTAAGAGGTGAGGGGTACCCAACCAATCAAGTGACCTTGGCTCAGATGCAGCCATGATCATGCACATAAACTGTTTCCCTGTTCTCTTATCGATTGGGTATATTGTTGTGGGAGTAAACCTCTTGTTGGTCTCCACAAATTCACACAGCTGGTTGTAAATTTTAGGGTACTCGTGGCGAAGGAAGACTCCCCTGGTCCTGAGCGCACGTTGGATATTGACAAAGCACACCTCTCTTGCTTTTCTCCCCTCCTCCCCTTCTTTGTCAATGTCTGGTGTTCCTGGTGGTGGTGTGAGAATAAGAGTTTCCAGTTCATCATCTTTCTTAAGTACTTTTTTGTCAGGGCTTGAGGAAGCCAACGACACCTTTGCATATTTTCGAACTGTTGGTGTTTGGACCCTTGGGGAAGGTCTATTAGGCACTAATTCACCAACAGCTATAGATACATTCAAAAGGAAACATTCACTGGGGTCGTACTCATTACCTGCTTGCTGCAACTCCTTGCAGTATTCACCTAGGTTGTCCTTAAAGCCATCCAGCTCTCTCAGAGACAAGTAAGTGGGAGAGATGAGGAGGCTTTCAAGCCCAACTTGGAGGAAGTTGTCAGTTGTCTCTGGATTGGCAAAACCCAAAAAGAGAACACCTCTCCCTCTGGAGAGGTAGCCAGATTTAGCGATGCGTGAGAAGGCTTTGTGGATCTCCGAATTCTCTCTGCAGAACTTAAGTGTGTGCCGACACACACTGCTGACACGTCCATAAAGGCATGTCTCTTTATGGATGTCCCAGTCATCCCTACGGCAATTTCGAGAGCAGTAAAAAGTGTAGCAACTGTGACATGATTTGAAGTACAAGCAAGCATTGAACATGCTCTCAATTCGGTTGCACTTCTTGTTAGCACACACCATTGTGTCATCTTCATCTGTGCTGTGATCTGGAGAACATTCTTCTGCACTCCTTTGTAAAGCATCACACCCACTGTCAGGGTCTTTGATTGTATCTGGGCTGGATTTAGAGGACGGGAGCTGTGTGTTGGGACTTTCTAATTTTTCAAGTCCAGAGGACCCCATGTCTTTGTCATTGTCATCAGTTATCAGTTGTTTTAATTGATCTAAAAGATTCTCATTTGACTTTTTGATTGTTGGTGGCTTATAGTCAACAACCAGATCAGCCAAGAGCTCATCAAGTTGCTCCAGACTCTGTTGAAGGGAAAAGTTGTTGTGCTTCCTTTCATTTGTGACATTTGTAAAGTTAGATGGGTTCTTCTGATTAACCACACTCCGAGGTGGTCCCTTATCAGCATGTGAGGATTCCCAGCTAACAGAGTGAATATCACGATGTCTGCTGCCACCTGCACATATGTCATTGTCTGTTATGGTAATCTCTGGGGTAACAAACCAGTGCCCACTCTTGGAATTCCTCCATGGATTGCTTGAATTCTTCTCCAAGGAGTTTTCTGACATAGACAAAGCAGCATAACGTTTTGGTGAACTTGACAGGTTAAGTATGACAGGTTTAGCTGTTACGTCAGAGGATGTCCTATGCTTTGCTTGGTAAAATAGGTTCTCATAGCTTCGGCCACGTGGGGGTACAGGTTGCCGTCTTTCATAATGTGGATATATAATATTGTCCCAAGATTTGGAATGGTTTTTGACATCTGCTCCCAGTTGATGTGTCTCTGTATAATTTTTTGTAAACCATGGAGGTATACTAGAGTCTTGTCTTAGTTTTGGTGGTGTGGTTAGAGAGGACTGGTTAGAGAAACCAGATATGCTTGAGCGATACCAGTCGTCTGAAAAGGCCTGAGACATTCGAGGGCGTCGACGACCCTCTGTGTGATATGGCCTTGATGGAATGTACTGTTCCTCAGGAGAGTTGAATGATTTGGAATAAAACAATCTTGAGCCACTCATGTGGTATGGACTGAACCTACCATCTTCTTCACAGTAAGCTCTGGAGAATGGAGCTTGAGAAAAATATGAGCCTGTCTCACTTGTGGAATAAGGTTGATTATATACAGAGTGAACTGGCTCCCTGTTGATATGGTGGTGGTTTGTGTAATATGATCTCGCAGGAAGTGTGTGCACCCATCGAGTCCTTGGATCATACTGACTTGTTGTAGTACTACCAATACTGGTAAGACTGGACCGATCATCCTGAAAGTATGGTCTGGAATAAGGTTGGACTGGATACCGAGCAGCATCCTCTGTATAAAAAAACTTAGTCGGTATGTTAGGATTTGAGTAAGCTCTTTGTTCTTGACTCAAATATGGTGCTGTTGGTGATGACATCCTGTGCATGTCTAAATGCTGGTACGAAATAGGAGACAAGCTGCTGGTGTAGAGGTATCCCTGCCTAAAATCCCCACTGTAGCATTCACTGGGAGTGGGTGTTGGTGAGGAGACAATGTGTTGTGGTACATACAGACCTGACCTGCTACTGGCCTGAGAATATCTTTGCCAAAGTTGATCAGATTGTGTGTTAGAAACTTGCCTTGATGCATGCTCCAGTACAGCAGCATCTGGTTTGATATCCACACGGCATTTAACATGAGGGGTAACAGTTGGTTTGTCTAGTTTATCCTCCTCAAAACAGTCTGAAACATATAGAGGAGAGTGGGGCTGAAGTTTGTTGGGATGCACTTCATTCAAAAAAGCCCTGTTGGAGGATTCCCGTTGTGTTTCAGAGGTCTTTAAGGAATCTAAAGCAGCCTGAGCGCCATCCCTTCCCTTCCTGGCCACTGGTGGAGATACAAAGATGGGCACAGGTGTGAGGGTAGCCTTGGCTCTTGGAGCACTTTTAGATCTTGATCTCGTTTTGGAATCTGACCATGTGAGATAGCTGCTTTTGCCTTGAGTAGTGTGCTGCTTGGTATTAAAAAGATCCGGAGATGAAAAACGAAGATGCCCTGGCTGATCTAGTCCATTCCAGAGGTCTTTGTTCGGGGCCTGAATCTCAGGCCTCTTGTAATGGTACTCCATTGAGGAAGAGAAAGACTGTGGATCATCAAGTGATTCAATGAAGTCAAAACTACGGCAGTGTCTTTTGTTGATGATCTCTGATTTATCAATCATTTTCATGTCACATTGCCTGGAGGGACGAAGAAAAACTGAGTCGTCAGTGATGGTGTTTGGTGTAATGTCCTGATAAAAAGCTGATGCCAGTAATTCAGGGGGATGTGTCCTGGTCATCTTGATGCAAATCCAAGGCTCTCTGGTTGGTGTTGTATAAGATCGATGAAGACTGGAAAAACAGAGATAAAGCAAATTCATTTTTAAGTTTGAATGAATAAATGAATGCATGAATGAATGAATGAATGAATGGATTAAAGAAAGAAAGACATTTGTTAGACAAGAAACACCAAGTACCAACACATCACTCTGCAATAATAAGTTAAAGGAAGAAAAAGCTAAACAGTTATGGCAGCACACATTGAACAGTGCCTACATGTGCCACACAGATATTGAACTATTTTATCTCAAATATTTTTTATAATTTAGTTAAAATTAATTCAGGGTTTATTTTTAATATTTTTCTCACAATACTGAAGTATATTTGGGTTTTCATAACATTAAGTAACCAGCCATCCATCCGTTATCTTTACACGCTTCTTCCTTTTTGGGTCACGGGAGTCACTGGTGTCCATATCCAGCGGTGACTGTGTGAGAGGCGGGGACACCCTGGACAGGTCTCAAGTCCACCATAGGGACACAGAGACAAACAAGACAAAACAACCACTCACTTTCTCACTCACACCTAGGGACAATTTAGAGTTACCAATCAGCCTAACATGCATGTTTTTGGTCTGTGGAAGAAAACCGGAGTACCCAGCAAAAGCCAATGCAGCACGGAGGGAGCATGCACACTCCACCCAGAGAGGTCCTGGGCCGGGATTCAATCCGGCGACCTTCTCGTTGAGAGGCAACAGCTCTACCAACTGAGCCACCATGCCACTCAACAATAGGTAACTTTTAACAAAATTTATATTTTTCTATGCACATTAAAAAACAAAAAAATGTGACATAAAAATGGTTAATCTCATTGTTGAAGAATAACAAGATAGTTTGTTTTTAAATTTATAAAAACCACAATGGTCAAAATGTTCCATCAATGATTTATTTAAAATTCATCTCTCACACACACACAGACTTTCTGCTTGGCACTCCCCCATAAGCCCACCCTGAGTTACCATCTGTTCATCGCGAGGGAGAAGTGACCAGCCGTCTCCCTGTCATGCCTCCACAGCACACCTAAATATCACGTCTGTTCACAACCAACCTCGAAACACAAACCTCACCTGTTCGTCAAGATTTATTTGGCTTGTTAAAGCCATGCGTTTGAGCACTGAAATGTTCATTTAGCTCGTTTTAAGTAAAATAAAAAGCTACATACCCTTAGATTTTTGTTAAAAGTTTGGTTTGGGAACGGTTGAGCAATAATGTTTGTTCCAATGTTTGTGTGCATGAGCTTCATTTAATTTTATATATATATATATATATATATATATATATATATATATATATATATATATATATATATAGCACTACAACATTTATAGCCTGGGCTAATTTGCAATGCCAGTCCCTAGATGGGCATTTAGCAATATAAAATAAGCATTTTAAAAATACAGTTTAAGAAGAATAAAACATTATGGTATATTAAAAAAAATCTTAAAACAGAATTAAAAACAGATGAAAAATAATGCAATTAAAACTGTGGCAGTTCATGTGTGTGTTAGCAAAAGAAATCAGTTAACGGATGTTAATGAAACTTCCAGACAGTAATTATTGGATGTACCTCTACAGTCTATTCCTTTTTGAAGCCATGGTGCAATTTAAACACTACAGCTAATTAACCTTAACAAACACAAAAATAACTATAATCCAGTCAATTTTACATTAATCAACTATTTGATGTGCCGAGGGTCATTGTCATCACATACCACATATTATGTGGCATCTTTGCTTCAAACATTGTCATTAAATGTTGGTATCAGTCTTGGTTATTGCTGAAATATCTTGTGAGCCAACAAAGGAATTATATTAATGGCAGTCAAATTTACAGACAAAACTTGCTGTGGTAGTAGCTGAGAGTCATCCTCAACACACATTTGGAGTGCTAACAGAAATTGTGCTCTCACTATTTTTGAGTGATCATGTAAGTTATTTGCAAATTTTCAACAAAATGGCTATTATTCAATAATTTCTAATCATAAAATGATTTTAGTTATCTATACCTCAACAATACCTCAACTACAGCCCCAAATCCCAAATGAGTTGAAAAGGAGGTGCCATGGATGCATTACCATCTACCCAGAGGCAGTGCTCAAGTGCCTGACCACTGAGATCTTGGAGGTGGCGGGAAACGTGGTTCGTGACAGCGGGAGGACCGAGGAATTCTGCCCGGCATTCAGGTGGTTCTGCTGCCCAAGAGGACCAAGAGGTCTGCTGGGTCTGGGTGGAGGGATCGGCATGGGCAACCAATTTCATCTGATCCGCTGTGGGACAGACTGCTACAAGAAATCCTTCCAACAACTCTAATGAAACCAGGATGAGCTACAACAACAATTCATTTCTCTTTGGGATTAATAAAGTATTTTTGAATTTGAATTTTATGCGTCTCTTTACTCTGAGAGTATAGAAAACCAAAGTATGCCTTCTGCTAGGTCTTTCATATTTAAAAAGGGATTTCTGAGTTAAAAAACGGGGGGGAAATAATTTAGTGTTGTGTATTGCTCAATTTTTAGGTTGCATTCAGTTTAAGTTTGTGATGGCGTAATAGAATTCAAAATCCCATTTAATGTTCTGATTAATGACTGTCACGTATCATAAAAAGTATGATTTGTGACAAATGTTATTTGTTTTAATTTAATTATTTTGTTTAGAAAAAACATGTTAGCAATTAGGATAAGGAAAAGCATTGGAGAAATGAATGAATGTCGATGTTAAGTCAAATATCTTTAACAAGTTGGCTCCTTTAGCTCAATGTCCTGTTTCCAGCTGTGAACTTATTTCCACACATTCATTGCTTCATTATTGTGGACTAAATAAACGTGGGTTGTACATTCCTCCATTTTTTTTTTTACAGTCCAAAGCTCCTTTTCATAAGAACACAAGACTTTCTAGCAATGTAAGAGCATGCCACATACTGTCTCCATGGATACAGCACACAGCAAAGAAACCATTAGGCCCTCCTGCAGTTGCTCTGAAGGAAAAACATCAGCGTGAAAATAAACATTCACATCAAACTAACAGCAGCTTTTATACCAAATAAATCACATTTTTCTGTTGCTGTCCTGTTTGTGAGAAGCAGTCAAAATTTACTGTCTTCAAAAGGAACTTTCAAAACTCGATGTTGTCCTTTTGCAACAAGGACTGAACAGATGCGTAAATCCATCGTCCCTGAGGTGCGTCTAACCAACTTGCTCTAACGCACTTGCACCCCCCCCCCCCCCCCCCCCCCCTTTATTTTTGGTCCTGCGGCACAGAGCGGTCGGCCCTCTATGTTTGGACTGATGCCTTTTAGCAAGGAAGGCCATTGTTTGCAGGAAGAAGAAGAAAAGAACCAGAGGAAAACCAAAGGGAATGAGTTGTGTAGGGGCATTTATAGGACGTTGGGGGTGATGGGGAGGGGGGAGGCCTTACCGTGTCTGCAGGGAGCTGATCCGATGCGGTGGACATGATGAAGCCGTGTGGCGCAGCTTCAGTCCGTGTGCACCTGCTGGGAGCCTTCCGGAACCGAACCCTCGTCCTTCATCATCTTATCTGCATCAGCAGCGCGCTCACTCCGGATCGTGGCTTTGTGTGTGTGTGTGTGTGTTGTGATGGAGGAGGAGGTGTGTCTCGGTTTGTGCATGCGCGTGACTCTGGAGGCGTGGTTGTGCGTGTTTTCAGGAGAGATGAGGGAAGCGGGGAGGGGGACCATCGGGGGGTGGGTGTAATCTGGGCACGCAGTTTCTGAGCAGCAATGCGGTCTGTTTTCTTCTGAGCTCCTTTTTGGGTATTTCCGGGGCTCTGCTGGTTTTGCTTGCTCATTCTGCAGCTAAAGATGGTTTCTTATCAGTGCTGATCATCTTGAAGAAAAGCTAATTTGTTCGATGGGGTGTATTCAGCTGCCCCCAGATATCCGAGCTTCTTTCCTCACTTGGACTGATCGATGACTGATCGTGTCCCTCCCACACAGTTGGGCCTGAGAGGATGAGAAAAATCCATTTTCTGCCAACTTTGCGTTTTCATAGTAAAACAACACAGGCTATAGTTCCAAAACTTTTCTAATTTAATTTGGCATGTCATAAAATGTGAGGACATTTGTGTACATAAAGAGCAAAAGTAAGACAATGTGTGTTTTGTTGATTATTTCTTTCTCACGCAGCCCTGAGGAAAGTCCATGCTGAGGGTTATGGTGGAGGAAGAGAAGTTGTGGATCCTCACAGACTGCGGTCTGTTTGTTAAGAAATCTAGGACCCAGTTGTAAATGGAGGGGCTTAGTCCTAGTGAATAGTTTGTCCATCAGGGTTTGGGGGATCATGGTATTGAAGGCAGACGTAAAGTCCACAAAGAGCATACAGATGTAGGAGACCTTCTCCAGGTGGGTGAGAGCAGTGTAGACCACAGAGGAGATGGCGTCCTCTGTTGATCGATTTCGTGGCATGCGTGCTGGTGAGGGTCCTCGCTGATGTTGATGGTTGTTTTGATGTGGGTCATGACCAGTGTTTCGAAGCATTTAGTGACTGTGGGGTGAGGGCAACTGGCCGATAGACATTCAGACCAGTCACTGTAGAGCTCTTTGGAACTGGGATAATGGTGGCAGTCTTCAGGCAGGTGGGAATTGTTGCCAGGGTAAGTGAGGAGTTAAAGATGTCGGCCAGCACCTCGCAGAGCTGATTGGCACAGTCTTTCAGTACCTTCCCCAGGAAAGTTGTCTGGGCCGGTTGCCTTGTGCGGATTAATCCTCCTGAAAGTACTCCTCACTTCGGCTGAGGTCACACTGAGATGCTCTTCTTCCAGTGGTGAGGTGAGTCTGGTGCTGGGTGGTCTGTTTGGGTCTTCAAAGCGTGCATAGAACTTGTTGAGGGCATCAGGCAGTGATGAGTCCCTTGGGCATTGTGCACCTCTGTCTTTATAATCTGTTATGCACTTAATGCCCCTCCGCATGCTGTGTGGGGCTTGTGAGGTGAATTGACCCTCGATCCTCTGTTCACATGTGGCTTTGGCCTTCTTAATACCAGCAACCAGCTCTTTCCTTGTCCTTCTCAGCTCCTGTGAGTTGCCAGACCTGAAGGCAGTGTTCCTGACTTACAGCAAGGTGCGAACCTCTGTATTCAGCCAAGGCTTCCTGTTCGGGTAGCTTTTAACATATCTGATGGTGGTGATGTCATCAGCACATTTGCTAAGGTGTCCCAGGACTGGGGATGTGTATGCCTCCAGATCTAGCTCCCCATCATTTATAGCAGCTTCTCTGAACACCTGCCAGTCTGTGTATGCAAAACAGTCTTTCAGTATGGAGTCACTATTCTTCACCCAACTTTTGACTTTCCTTTGTATCGGTCTGGAGCGTCTCAGCGGGAGAAGGTAAACAGGGGCCAGAAAAATGGATATATGGTCACAGAGTCCTAGGTGGGGGTGGGGTGCAGCTATGCATCTCGTACATTGGTGTAAACATGGTCACATCTTATAATGAAGCCTCGGTTTGTTAAGTTAATGTGTTAAATTGCCAATATACATATTTTTTTTGAGAATACCTGTGGAAATTGTATGGTTGTATGGTCATTCAAACACCACAGTGCTAATGAAATCTGTAACAACAAAAGGTGCAAAGCATTGGTTCAAATGATCTTTTTTGTGTTTGTTGTTGTTGGACAAAGCCAAGACTGCAATGTGGTGCTGTTTTCTGCAACAAAATTATGAAATTAACATCTTAAACCACAGTTTTTACCCAGAGTTAGATGCACTTTTCATATCTTGGTGATCTTCTTTCAATCAGTCCTTCATTTTGATGCAGGCAGTCAAAGACAAAGCATGTGTCTGCTACACGCCAATTAAGATCCCAGTGTCTTTTTTTTAGTCCAGGAGTTAAAATGTAAATATTGATTAAAAAAATTATTGAATTTATTTTGCAATCAAAGCATCTTTAGATTTGCTGTTAGAAAATTAGGATCTTCAGTTTTGGATCACTATCTCATTGGGGGTTTGGGGCATGACCACTAATGACCCAGTGTCCCTTATGACCAGGTTTGATGGAGAATGAAGAGGAGGCGAGTTTGGTTTGTAGGTTAGGCATTCAGGATTGTTCAGTTTGCTGTTTTTAATGAGGGTCATCATGGCTGGACTTAGAGAGCTTTGGATTGTTTAATGTTGCACTCATACAAAGTTTAAAAACCAATTTCAGATTAATTGATTCTTGTTTTTTATTCAAACTTGTATGGCCTTGTTCCTCCCCTGACAGCAAATGATGGAGTCTCTTTGACACCTGTGACTTTGACTGAACAACTGGTTCCCTCTTGCTGGCAGATCTTGTCATTTAGCTAGCCCAGCACAACACACATCTGCCCCAGACACTTACCTCACCACAATCTTTCTGCATTGTCGGAACTGATGATGGGGACAGCTGGCTGTGGGCCCAAAACATGTGACTGCCGCAGAAGAACTGCTTACTGAAGCACTCTCCCTGCAGATGGAAATCACTTCAGACAAATGCTGCTGATCAGGCTGAAGGTGGTAATGATTCTCTCATTTGACAGAAACTACTTTATTGCCATAGGAAATACACCTCTGCTGTAGAACAATAGATGATGACACGTTTTGTTCTTTTTTTAATGATGACTCTTCCACACTTGTTACAAAACACTTAAAGAGACCATATCTGCAGCGCATCACGTAGGGTGTGAGGTATTATTCAGTGGATTTCACATTATGCCTCCAGTATCTCTGAGAGTGATCTCTATCTGAGCATGCTACATTGGCATCAGCTTGTGTCAGCTGCTGGTTAGCAGTGTCTGTCAGCTGGCTGCCAGCAGGTGTCTCAGAGAGTCTGTGGAGAGAAAATCAATGGTGCTTTGTCGCAAGAAAACCCAGTGATGAGGATCAATCAGGCTTTGACAGCACAAAGTAACAACACTAAAGCGGAGTAGTGCTTCACACTGCCTTCACTGCTAAAACAAGCTTTTATGCTGCTCAGTAAACATCCCTCCATTCTTTGGCTTTCTCTCATTAAGTCTACGTTAGATTAAGTGATTCACAGCATTACATCCTGGTTTCTTATTCCCTAAAGTGGGGATTACATTGGACATGTGGGAATGCACGTAGTCAGGATATGTCTGGCTCAGAATAGCCAAGGACTGTTAGAATAAGTTGAATGAAACAAGAAAAACACATTTGACAGAGATGGGAATGTAAACAAACCCAGCTTCACTTTCCCACAAGATATTCTCAGGGAAGCCAGAGGTACACATCTATAACTCTTGTAGCACTGAATATTTCAACCAGCCACAACCAGACCCTTCTCAATATGACCGAATGTTGTTAGTTCCTTCAGAGTCCACTCAGGAGGTTTTGATCTGGTGGACTCTGACTCAGAAGGAACAGAACTTCATTGAGGAGAGTTTGACAATTCAGTGAGTGATACACACAGCCTACCCCCTTATTTTCAGACAAACTGCGCTTAAATCCTTGACAAATTAAACCACCGAATCCTCTCTGTCCACCTCTCTCTTGGCCCTGTCAGTAGTGGAAGTCCATTTAGGGCACCCACCACTCAGACCCTGGGCTTTCATGGGGATTTAGAAGCAGCCATGTGAAGTATTCAGATACTTTGCAGCTCAGTGTGGCCCTGCAGAATCCTTGTTGGCATAATTTTCATTCCAACTGGATCAGACTAGATTAGATGCAAAAGACTGTTGGGGGGTTTCTGGGTTAATTAGAATTTCCAGAGGAACAGCTGCTTGTTCCCTTGGAGAGTTGAACCCAGTTGTTCTAAAATTTGGTACATAAAGAAATTTCATGACCGCTCCTTAAACTTTGAAACAGGGCCCCCACCAGGAAGAGGTTAAGGATTCAATTCAATTCAGTTTATTCATATAGGGCCAAGTCACAACAGAAGTCATCTCAGGGCACTGAACAGAAACATTCATGTATACTGTATATAAAAAAACAAGTTAACATTATTTATCTAAGGAGCAGACTGCTTTGAGTTTAACTCCATCACTGAACTCTCATCTTGAGCAAGCATGACGGCGACAGTGGAAAGGAAAAACTCCCTCATGAGGAAGAAACCTTTAGCAGAACCAGACTCAGGACAAGTGGCCATGCTTCGACCAGTTGGGTTTGGTAGGAACAGATACACAATGGCAGGTCAAGAATTATAAGATATAAATAATATCAAATGAAAACTAAGGAAACAAAAGCTCTTTCTCACAGCCCCCCCCCCCCCCTCCCCTGGACAGACAATCGTTATCCATTTGTTAGCAAAATATTTTGTGAGGGACTGGCAGGGCCGGCCCAAGCCTCCATGGGGCCCTAAGTGAAATTTGTTTTGGGGCCCTCTATTTCTGCTAATAATGTGATTTACTGCCATCAGCAGTCAGATCAGATCATTCATCACCTAACATAAACTTATTGCAACTCTGACATCCCTGTTCACATTATCCTATATGTATATATCATCTAGTGCAGGGGTGTCAAACTCATTTTCATTTTGGGCCACATCAGGCTCATGAATGTCCTCTAAAGGTCAGACATGGCAGAGTGTCTTGATAAAACTACCTATTATCCATCCATCCATCCATTATCTTTACCCGCTTATTCCATTTTGGG